GAACTGCTGGTAGTTTCGATCTGCTAACTGTGAGGTTAGCAGCCTGACTCGTAACCACTACGCGACCAGTGTGTCTGTAGACGCATTATTTCTATTTCAAAAGCTCAATAACATTTCTTAGAATCTTTCATCTGAATTGACTCACATAAGAACATCTATCTCTAAGATTTTTCAAGTTAGTTAATTGCCATATTGTGATGTGATTCTTTGCTTATACTAGTTCTTCCCCATTATCAAGGTGTAATGGTTTCCTGACTGATGAGTTCATTCATACATACAGTGTCTCTCCCAAGCTCTGAACCCAGATAGGAAAATACTTATTTCTCAATTAGAAGGCTTTCTCCTTGAAATACATATGACAGTTGTGAAATAATGGCAACAAGAAACAATTATACAAGGATATGTCATAATGTACTGCTGCTAGGGTTCCAGTTCATACATGCATGAATTTATTCCAAACAAAACATGTCTATGCATGTCTCTGTGATCAGTAGGTGGCTGCAGACTAATTTTTTCAGTAATATATTTGTCTTTATCTCATTTGAGTGCCTTAAAAAAGAGGAGGGGGATACTTTTTTTGCCATTGGAAAAAACAATGTTGATGACAGGGTTAATACCAGATTTTAAACAAAACTTAGGCGGACGTCTTCCCTAATTATTGAAGCTTTGCAATGAGTTGGCAGAAATGCTTTTCCATATAAGACTACGGTTCTTATTTAAGGAAGGTCAAGAGAGGGAAGACCATCAACCCCAATGAATAAAGAAATTGATTGAAGTCCAGAAACTAGTGGGAAAAAACTGTAGAATTACTATTGATGCAATACTTGCTGAAGTTGAGATCTCACATGGTTAAGCATTTTCAATTTTAAGGGAACATCTTGGCATCAGGAAGCTTTTGACTTAAGGAGTGCCAGGAATATTGCATGAAGATCAGCTTGCTCAAAATGATCTTTCCATCAGTCTTTTAAGCAAGGTTGAAACTGATGACAATTTTGTGGAATGAATCATTAACTAGGGACAAGACTTGGATTTTCTAATAGGATCCAGAGAGCAAGATGCAATTAAAATAATGGCTTCCTAGGAGTCCTGGTGTGATGCTGCAGGATAAGTACTGGACTGCTGACCAGACCTGCCAGCTGCTCCTTGAAAACCCTATATAAAGGAGCTCTGGTAGCGTAGTGGTTACGAATCGGGCTGCGAAACGCAAGGTCAGCAGTTTGAAACGATCAGCTGTTCTGTGGGAGAAAAGATGAGGCTTTCTGCTCCCATAAAGATTTACAGCCTTGGAAACCCTGTACAGGGTCGCTATGAGTCGGAACCAACTCCATGGCACATAACCACCACCATAAATCAGAACTGACTCAGCGACACTTAGCAACAACAATGGGACCTGCTGAGCCAATTAAATTCAAGGCAGAGAGGTCAGCTCAGAAATTTATGATGAATGGTTTTAGGGTTCCCAAAGGGGAACTTTTTAAAAAGTTTTTATTGTGAATTATGTGGGTTTTCATGGGAGAACATCAGTTTTACATTCATCCTATCGTATTTCGTTTCATTGCAATGATTACAGTCCCCTCCATGCGTTAGCAAACAACCAAAGGGTACACCCCACAGGCCCACCCCCTGGCCATCAGCACACAGCCCCTTTCCCTCCCTGAGTGTAGTGTTCCATTTCTCCACGTCATTGTCTCTGCCTCCATTTCTGGCGTCACTGCTTCTTTGGGTGGGGTCCTGCACTCTGCTCTTCTCACTTGATGGCCCCAAGGGCCTCTAGTCCTGGACTGCAGGATCAACCACTCCCCTCCTTTTGTTACAAAACATCTGCCTTTACATTTCCAACACTCAGTCAGTCCTGATAGCAATTATTCACTATTGTGCCACAAGAGTCAAAAGGGGAACTCTTCATAGATTTTCTCAAAAGACATAGGATGGCTGTTGTTGTTGTGAAGTGTCATCAAGTGAATTCCAGCCCATAGCTACCCTGTATAGGGTTTCCGAGGAGCAGCTGGTGAGCTTGAACTGCCAACCTTGCAGTTCAAATGGCTTTGCAGTCTGGCACATTAACCCACAGTGCCACATCAGGACTCCAGGATGACTGTAGGGACTTAGTAATGAAGTTTTCAGAGAATTGAAAACTGAATTTGTGAGCAAAAGACCAGCAAAGTTGGGCCGAGGAATTTCTTTCCATCACAACGCTGTAGATGCTCAGTCTTCAAGGGCAGCAAACTCTATACTTAAGAATTTGCTTGGAAAATCTTACTCCATCCATTGTACAGCCCTGATCTTGCCCCTGCATAGTTCCTTTTGTTCCCAAAACTAACTTTGAATGAGAACATGATATGCATACCCTGAAGATGTCAAAAGTGCTATTTTGATGTGGTGTGATTGAATAGCATAGAATTCTTTGAGGAAGTGGTGGTGGTGTTTGTGATTATGAGCCATGGAGTCAGTTCCGACTCCTAGCGACCCTGCGTAGGGTTTCAGAAGCTGTAAAGCTTTACAGGAGCAGAAAGCCTCCTCTTTCTCCCGTGGAACAGCTGGTAGTTTTGAACTGTTAAATTTGAAGCTAGCAGCCCAACTCATAGCCACGATGCTAGGTAGAAACACTGCCTTCAGAAGTGCATAGACCTAGAAGGAGGATATATCAAGAAGCAATAGCTTCACATTTTGCTATTTTTCTTTAATAATATTTTCTATGGTTTTGTAACACTACTTTTTTACTTATTCTCATAATGTTAGTGTGGTCTACAGATTCACAGGAAGAGGGAGAAATCCAGAAACACAAGACAGCGCTACTCACTTTTTAATCTTGTAATTATTATCTTGTTGTTTTGTAGGATTATGTGTATACTATTTAAGTTGTCTCTGTTCTGGATTAGCATTTTGCCTTATTAAAATGCTAAATTTAGAGAATCTTCTTGGAGTCTCACCTTCGCATTTTAACAAGGCAAATGTCTTCAAGACCTGGGCATTCGAAACTTTGAAAAGTAATTCAGAACATTCCTCTCTAAATCTTAAAGATAATACGCTAAGTAAAATAAAAGAAGCTCTCCTTTTTTAATGCACAGCATTTTAAGTCAATAGGACTCCTGGTGTGGCTCTGTGGGCTAATGCATCAGACTGCAAAGTTGTTTGAACTGCAAGGTTGGTGGTTCAAGCTCACCAGCTGCTCCTTAGAAACCCTATACAGGGTCGATATGGATCTACTCAACAGCACTTAACAACAACCAGTGGTTCAGTTTCTAGCCAGGAAACGAAAATATTTCTTGAAAATATGACCATAAATATTTGAAAAATATTGTGTTCTGAGCACTTTGTGTACTAGATCATTATTAACCAAAGTGGTGTTCCCTTGGAACATTGAAGAGGTTTATGTAAAAATACATTCCATGCAGGGTCTCATGGGACAACTCAGTCAGCTGGCGTAACATAGTTCAGAAAAATCCTGATCGGCATCTTAGTGAATAGTGAGTTGTGCCTGGAGTCTTAAAAGCTGGCAAGCAGCCATCTAGCCACAACTCCAGGTCTCTACTTGCTAGAAGCAAAGCAGTAAGATATTTAAAAGCTCTGAAAAGAAACAAGTATACATGAGTCACAACTTCACCTACCCTGAAATCAAAAGAACTAAATGGTGCTGGCTACCACCACTGACCATTCTGAGTAGGGCCACACTACAACTATTCCTCACTTATTCAGTATTTCACATTTAAGACCATAGTAAAAATTCTACTGTCCAACTATTTTGTGCATTAATGACATGTTGCCCATTATGAACACTAACGTGTGAGGTGAGAGTAGTGCTGGCTGTGATGGTAAGGTTATGTGTCAAGTTAGCTAGGCTGTTATGTGCATTGACTTGGCAGTTATATAACCATAAGAATCATCCTCCATTTTTTGTGATCTGTATTGTGTAATTCCGAGTTTTCACATAATGATCTAGTCTTTGGAACCTGATCATATCAATAGTGAGGAATAGGTATAAATGGTTCCAGATCTAACGGGAGGAAAATGTGGTGCAGATTTCAAGTTCTTAGTTTAAAAAAAAAAAAAAAAAATACAGGCAAACTCGGACAGTAGAGAACCAAGAACTCCCTAAGACATCTTTAAAGCGAGAACTGAGCCTATCTCTGTAAATCATCTTTTAGTGAAATAGCAAAGAGTGGTGCATAAAGGGTATTACCCATAAGATCCGTGATCTGTTTCAAACTCATCAATGGGACCAAAAGGTCAGTAATTACCCTAAAGCAAAGATGAGAAGGAGGCTGTAAGGGGATAGGGAAACTGAAGTACTGGAAATGGAACAAGCAGTACAATTAAAGATAACGTTGATACATTATGATGAATGTAATGAGTCATTGAACCATTTGTGTGGAAATTGTCAAAAGGGAACCTAACGTGCAGTGTAGATTCACCAAAAAAAAATACAACCAATAAAATAAAAATACATCCCAAGTAAATTTGTGAAATGGCAGCACATTGTGTCCCCCTTTGTGGAGAGTCACGGTGTACAGTAGCAATATTAAGGACTAGAAGGGAACCACAGAGAGAAAGCTGCTTGACATTGTTTAACCATTGTTTCCCACATGTGTTTAGCATGAAGATTTTTCTTTTTTCCATATAATCTCTGTAAACATCCTAAAAGACATAGTTTGAGAAATACTGTAGTAGGTTGCTCATTAATTGACTTTGAAATCTAAATGTTTGGGAGGACTCTTAAAGAAGTTCCTTAGTCTAATCTCTCATGGGAGTCCTGTAATATTCCTGTGAAGTATTTAATCCAGCATCTACTTGAACACTACAAAGCAGATAATTTAAATATTCTATTCTAAATGTTTCAAAAAGTTCTTCATTTATGTAGCACATAAATCTTCTTTTACATAACTTTCAGCCAGCATACTTTTCTGGAGAATGTTAATAAAATATCTATAGGTAAAATATGTTAACTAAACAGAGTAGCTAATATTGCTTAATACTCTTGCCTTTCTTATTTTATTTCACAGGCACCTCTGTGGGCGTATATTGCTTGTGCATGTGGCCTTTTCATTTACCAGTCTTTGGATGCTATAGATGGGAAGCAAGCCAGAAGAACCAATAGTAGCTCTCCTTTGGGAGAACTTTTCGATCATGGTTGTGATTCACTATCAACAGGTACTGCTGATTTTCAGGGTTAACAATTATTAACAGTGATGAAAGCAATGTGACAAACTGTGTTAAGTAAATATTTAAGAGGTTTGTGATGTTGTAAGTTACAAGAATAAGTGATTTTGTATTAAATTTTAGCATTTTCAAAAAACTGAATCTGATGAATATCTGTTAATTACTGACAGTATCAGGTAATTTAGGAATTATGTTAATTACTTAGTTATTTAATGCTGAATATTGTTTGTCATTTGTTTTCAAAATCTTAGGGTATAATTATCACCATAAAGTGTGGCAGAACATTACTGGGAAAATAGGCAATTTGTGGTTATTACATTTAAGTGAATATGATGTAGTTATTGAGAATTATGTTATGAAGACTCTTATTGAAACTGTGATAATGGATCTCTTTAATGCGTCAAAGAACAAAAATGTCACTCTGAGGATTGAGATGCACCTGATCCAAGCCATGGTATTTTCAGTTGCTTCATTTGCATGTGAAATTTACACAGTGAATAAGGGAGACCATATAAGAATTGATGCATTTGATTGAATTTTGAAAGTACCATGGACTTCTAGAAAAACAAACAAATCTGTCTTGGAAGAAATATAGCCAGTATGCTTAGAAGTTAGGATGGAGAGACTTTGCCTCTCATTCTCTGGACATGTTGTCAAGAGGGACTAGTTCCTGGAGAAGGACATCACGCTTGGTAAAATGGTTGTTGTTAGGTGCCATAGAATTGGTACCGACTCATAGTGACCCCTACACACAACAGAACAAAACTCTGCCTGATCCTCACAATTGCCACACTTGAGCCCACTGATGCTGCAGCTTTGACAATCCATTTCACTGGGGGTCTTCCTCTTTTTCTTTGACCCTTCACCTTACCAAACATGATATCCTTCTCCAGCGACTGCTCCCTCCTGACACTATGTCTGAAGTATTGAGAGATGAAGTTTGGCCATCCTGTCCTCCAGGAAGCACTCTGGCTGCACTTCTTCCAACACAGATCT